TTTTTAATGTTGTGTAGCTGCGGTTAGCCATCCAACCATGGCCAATGGTCTGTGGCAGGCAAGCAGAGCAGTGACCAAGACTGTGAATACAAGCAGACCATAAGAGAGCAGAGAGAGGGAGGGAGAGGGCAGGGAAGGGAAAAGCAAAGAGAGGCACACTGAATGCAGAGGCAACCAAGCAGAAGTTGCATATATGATCACTCCGAACAACAACCATCCTTCGCTTTTACTCCTTCTGACCGGCCACTGACTAGTTACAGCACTTCACCACAGCGTGCTTATATTGTAACCCCACACATATGTGCACATGTCAGGCTCCAGCTGAAAGAGGTTAGCTGGAGCAGCAGTGAGTTTTACTGATGCTTGTCCTTGCTAACAAAACACTTCAGAGGAAGAATCAGCAGGTAGGAGGAGTAATGATAAACAAAGAGATATCATTTGTTAGCACAGATGTATGTGCATGCCCGGACTGCTTCATCTGATTACAACACAGACACTAAGAGATCCATAAGCTCAGAGAGAAGCCCAGAATAAATATAATCAGTTGATCAAACACAACATGCTAAAAAAACGTGTTCTCAAGTTGCCAAGCACCGAACCTGGAAGACCAGGATGCACCAGGGGACAAATGCACATGAAAAACAGTCAAACGGAGAGAAATCTATCTTTCCCTTACCTCAGCAGCTGCTTGTGAAATCCTTTGTGATGGAAAAAATGTAGTAGCGGGGAACAACAAATGTCAGTTTAAGAAGAACTGCTATCGAGCCCCACTTTTATGTCTTTGCAGGGTGGTGTATATTTTATATCTCTATCAGCCAAATGCAAAGTCTCGGGTCCGTTAGGAAGGTGCTCCGTCTGCCTCTGTGGGTTTGTGTAAATATATATATATATCCTTAGATGGCGATGAATAATGGTGAGTGAAAGCAGAGTACTACGCTAGGAGGCAGACAGACTGGCTGAAACAGGAGAGCAGTGAGAGTAGAGAGCAGACTGAGTAGGATGGAAGTTATTGCCTCCCAACATCAGAGCGGCTGGGCTGGATACACCCACCTCCTCGGCATACATCAAACGGGATTCGCTCAGATGCTCACAAGTATACACAGAGAGAGAGAGAGAGCGAGAGAGAGAGAGAGAGAGAGGGATCCTATGTGCAGCCTGAGATCTGATCAGATCTGATATATGCAAATATCCATCCATGCAGGGTTATGCACACATGCATACTTATAAAGGGTAGCTTTAACTTACTTTCACTGACACGCTTACACATTAAACTACTTTCTGTGTGAGAAATAAAGTGTTGATGTTAACAGTTATAGTCATAGTGTAGCAGATTTACATATCCATCCATTCTCTTCTGCTTATCCTTATAAAACCCTCTCAGACAGGATGCAAAACACATGAAAAGTGAGAAGCGTAGCTGTTCACTTATGCTTGTGTTTTTGCTTTTTTCAGATCGCGCTCCAGTTTTTCTTTGTTCCAACTGCTCTAAGCTGAAAGAAAAGTCTCTGTTTTTCATCGCATTTCTGAGTACATGCGTGCACACAAGTGTAGCAGACTTGGACATGCTTCTCATTCTTGGAGTTCACCACTGCCTGTCGTTCAGCATGCTTTCATTTTCCTACCAGTGCTCAGTTCTTGAGAGAGAACCAGGCTGGAGGCTGGAGGAGGGGGGCTGTTTTGTCTCATGGGCTTTAAGCCCGCCACACCACCCACCTCTACCGCTCCAGCCACTAGAGCTTTGGGCCTCGTGGGACAAGGCCAACCTTGATAAAGGCCACTTGCATAATTCAAGCACCTCATTGCTCAAGTTCTTGTAAACTTGGTTCATAAACAGTACCTGAATGTGTCACATCCAGGTAAAAGAGAAGCTTTTTTCCCTTATCATTGTTCCTCGAGTCATTTTTTTATGCCTTCTAAAAATGGAAAGTCTCTCCGGTGAGAGAGAGTATTGCCACCAACGTTTCACTGCACAGATCTCTCCAGTTATCGCATTCAGCGTCTGAAATACCGGAAATAAAGCCCTGCGTACATTTGACCCTTCAGCATACAGCAGCTTGACACGTGGGTGACCTGGCAATGCCCTCTTTATAAAATTCTGTTATAAGGAGGTGATGAGAGAAGGGAAACACACTAATCCTCCTGAATGTGAGTCTCCTGGTTAGGATTTAAATGGTGAGTGAGAGAGAAAGCATATCCAACACCTCCCCTCGCCGGCCCTCCTTCTGTAATCTAAAGAGATCACTAGCTGCTTGTTTGATCTGTAATGGAGTCACACCACAAGAGTGATTTAGGATAAACTGAACCCACTTTAAGTGAAGTGTGGGACTCTGGTAGGCTACAGTAAGTTAATTAAGAGGTTTGCTATTAAAGCTACCTCAGAGCTGGAGACTGAAGAGTATTTTGAGCCATCAGACTGAAGGATGGCGATGGCATCATCATCTACAGTCCCACAGGAAGTCTTAGCACCCCTAAAGTACTCCCATCCACTACTGCATCAGCATCCTCACAGCAACATCCCTCCACCATCAGCGTGAAAGCCACTGAGGTTTTCTGGAAGCTGAGGCACAGCAGCTCAGTGTCCATCGGTACGTTGCTGCTGACCAAGCAACCACTCTTCAGCAGCAGCAGCAGCTGTAACAACAGCAGCAGCTGCGGATCGTCCAGCCTTCATAGCGTCGTACTGACAAATGCCTGCACTGACTACGTGCATGGATGAAACGAAACACCATGTCTGTGCGGTTTTAAGGTGATGCGATCCTCTCTATATCGTAAAAAAAAAAACAACCCAAAAAAACACGCCAGCCAAAGCACTCCATAATACTGCAAAAGCAAAACAGTGCAACTGATACAAATAAGCTGTAAAGAAGATTAAACTAGACGCACTCGCGGCCCGGCTATTCGGGCAGATTTAGGTTTATCAATTAACGCTGCAAGCAGGGGAAACGTAAACAGTGTCTTACCGTCACAGTCGCGGAGGGATAGCCTCGGAGACTGTCAAACGATGAGATGCTCCGGTGAAGGAGGGAATGATACTGCTGGACAGATCGACCTCCGTTCGGCTGGATAATGTCGCCCCCTGTTGGTGCAAAGTGGGAAGTGCCTGTACAATAAGCGTTTTGGTTTCTCTCCCTGTTTATGTATTATGTATACATGTAAATAGATTCCTTAAATATAATTATGAACAGCTGGTGTGGGACAAGCTTCGTTATTAAACAAAAGTCCACAAATATACTTTGCTTCCACAAAAAAAATAGTTTCATTTTAACAGCTGCAAACTATGAACTTCCGTTTACTTTTTTCAAAATAAAAGAAGAACTGGTTAATGAAAGTCGGTGGTTGCCATGTTCTTGCTTAGGATTTTAGTAGGACACTTTCTTGGTTTGTTATCTACGACTTTAAATGGTACGTGCAAAAATCTCATCCCCACTCAAGCTAAACTAACTCACTTAATCCCAGAAAATCAACCCCGGTTGTCTGGTGGCAGTGATTTCCTAACTCGGAGGACTACAGATTTCCTCTGTTGTGCCAAAAAGTGATCAACCGTCAAAAAAGGTCAGATCTGGTTCAATTCTATATGTTTTTTATGCGTAATAGCTTTGCTTATATTGCTAATAGACTGTAGTCGCTGTATAACATTAAAAAAAATGCCTGTCTGCAAGTATCTTTGACTCGATTATTGTAATTACATTATAATCAATCCATTCCTTTTTAGCCACTTAGAATATCTTTATAGAACTGGGATGTTAAACTTGCTGCAATTTCTGCTTTCCAGATCTCTCTTGGAAAAGGGCATTTTTAATGTCAGACACTTTTTACCTGCTTGAAAGTGACTCATATATATGAAAGTCACTTTTTATTGCAGCTTCTACCTTGTGACAGGATTTTGGTTCTGTCTCACAATGACTTGATATCATTAACGAGAGCACAGCACAACAGCCGATAGGCCCAGAGTTCAGTTTTATGAGCGTTAATATGCAAACTGCCATGACCATTCATCAGTGGCATGAGTACCATTCACAGAGAATTGGAGAATAGCCACAAACAGCGCTGTAAAATGGTGAAGTAAGGCCCTGTCCTTGCTTCAGAGATGGTCATTCCCTTTTCATGTAAATGACCTCCTTGCCTCCATGTCCATAATGGTCTGGGATAACCAGGAATCCTTCAGCTTCCCTGCCCTGTATTAGCCTAAGAATACATCATTCACCATCTTAAAGTGTTGTGATTGCAGTCATTGGGCATCAGTGGTTCAGTGATCATTGATCAACTGCCTATTGTTAGTCATTAGTGGGTGTTTTCAGTCATCATGCAAATGAACTGCTTATAATGCTGGGGAAACCTGCAGTCAGCTGAAAACGTCACTTTGATGGAAAATGAAACTTTTTCCCACTGAAACGTACCTCCAGATCAACAGATTCAACTTTGTGGGATTTTCTTACCTGGATGACTGAGCATAATTCATAACTTACTGTTATATAACTATACTATTATAGTCTCGTGGGTTTTTTTTCAGGTAATTAATAATCTTTTTTTCTTTTTCTTTTGCTGTTGGACCCACTTTTGTTCATACTCATTGGTTTTTACTTAATGATTTTATATTGTCTATATAAACATCCGATTCTATGTTAACCGTTGTTCTGTAAATCGCAATTTTTTTGTTGGGTCAGATATATAAAGTGTGAAGAGGATTCAAGAAATATATAGTGCAGTCTCCCAAATTATACCTCTTATACAACAGACCAGCTTCAGCTTGTCTCAACTTGAAATTTGAAACCTCTGTGGCCCTTGGCTTCCATGGAAGCCTTGATGAGTTGTATACTTTTTATTACATTCATTTCATGAAAGCAATTTTTAATGTCCTGTATTTAAAATCTTAGTACTTCAAAAGGGAAAAAAGGTGAGACATGAGAAATGACTGTTCAAGTTTAGCTCGACTTTTATTTTGAAGGAGCTGGAGAAAGGACTACAAGAATGGCGCTTGGAGCTGGCCGGTTGGGCCTAGCCGAAATAGTTGTCTTAACATTAGCCTGAAATCTGGCATGTAAATCTTTTCAGGTATAGAATTTCCCAGAGTTATACGCGCATTTCCAAATGTTCGGCAACACCTGATGATTTTCAAGCTTAGTCGTGACCGTTTTTTTTTAACATTCTGGCCGGATGTTTTGACGCGATATCCGAACGTTGCCGGCGATGTAGCGGCCAGCGAATCTTCAAGCAGGAAAAAGCGCCAACTTCTGTTGCACCGTCTGAATTGTTAAACACTCCGTAAAGCATTTCGAGACGGGATGTTTAATGGAAAATATCAAACTTAAACTGGAATGAAGTATTCGGGTAAGTTTTCTTTCTCGACTCAGCTGGGATTTCAAAGAAGTCCTTTTTGGCCGTGAACAGTTTCAAACGGCGTGCTTTCTGTTTTCTCCTCCCACTTCTTCACCGCACCTTCTCGAGCCAGTTTGTCGCTGTGATGTGCGCAACGTGCTCAAAAACAGCAAGTTATTTGTTGCTACCCTGTAATTTAAAGCGAAAACAGTTGCTCACGTAAGCCGTGCTAGAGCGGTTGTTTGTGGGTAGGACTGAAACAAAGTACTACCTTTAAGTTAGCGTTAGCCAGCTAACATGTTACATAATGCGTGGTACGGTCAATAACCGGTTCGACTGTATTATTGAGAAGTGTGTGCTTGATTGGACTGGACCTGTCCGTGTGTAGCTACACAATAGCGGACCGTGAACTTAAGTGCGCAGCTACGTTCGTTCTCGTTGAACTCTGATGGCGCCCGCTGAAATTACATTGTGTGTTTCCATTTTTCACCAGTGAGGTGCGCTGTTGCGTCTCAGTAGGAATTTAAAAGAAAAAATCGCCCTCAAGGTACCGGGAGGAAAGATGCCAGGTCTGCAGGGTGAAAGTGTGGTATCAGCGGCTCCGGGGAGCCCAGTGAAGAAGAGTAAACTCTCTCTGAAGTTCTTCCAGAAGAAGGAAACCAAGCGGGCTCTGGATTTCTCGGAACCTCAGACAGAAGAACCCAAAACATGTGAGCCAGAGGAGCCTGAGGCAAGGTAGGTCTCTGCTACCAGTGTGCGTCAAACACAAATAGTTTTCTAGACTGATTTGTTTTGGGCAGCCCGAAGCACTCGTTTTCCCACAGTTACATTCAGATAGTTATGGGAATTCCACTGTTGTTGTGAGGGCAGGATAATGCACGTGTGGATGAGCGATACCTTAGATTTTAATAGTAGGCTTCATCTCAATCAAGCTGGGGTTACACTTCAACATTAATCTCAGTGTAATCATTTTAAAACAGTGTGTGTGTGATGGTGGATGTCATTTGTGAAATTCAATTTATTAGCTGCTGACTTTCTGTTTGCTTCCTTCTTAACTGATCAGCAGCTGTGATCAGGTGGTCCCGGGGCCTTCTCGGTGTCCTTCCTCGCCCAGCCTCCTCCTGTCCTGCGAGAAGAGAGAGAACTTGGTGCCGTTCGTGGGGCTCAACAATCTGGGCAATACCTGCTATTTGAACAGCATCTTACAGGTGAGACATTACCACAGATGGAGTTAATTTCCAGCATTAATAGATGTCACTTGTTCCAGTGTTTTAGTACAAATGGTAGGATGGGTTTAAATATACTGAAGGAAAAGTTGAAAACTGCACAGACACTTCACAGTGTGTGTGGTTTGTTCTTGTGCGATTTAAGTTGCATTGAATCCTCAAACCTGTGTTATCCCACTCAGAAGTGGATGTTGTTGTGATGCCGGGAATGTTACATTTTCTGATGGGGAAATTGTGGTTCTGCGGCGACCGTGGCTCAGGGGGTTGGGAAGCGCATCTGTAACCGGAAGGTCGCCGGTTCGATCCCCGGCCTCTCTGTCCTGGTCGTTGTGTCCTTGGGAAGACACTTTACCCTACCGCCTACTGGTGTTGCCCAGAGGGGCCGATGGCGCGATATGGCAGCCTCGCTTCTGTCAGTCTGCCCCAGGGCAGCTGTGGCTACAACCGTAGCTTGCCTCCACCAGTGTGTGAATGTGAGAGTGAATGGGGTCTCGAAAAGCGCTATATAAATGCAATCCATTATTATTATTATTATTATTATTAGTGTGATGGCAGTCTGTGGGGAGCTTTGGACTGTCCTACCTGCAGAGAGCGTCTGTAGTCGAATGGAGGCAGTGCTTAAAAAAAAAGTGGTTCAACCGGTTTGTAGGCTACTACTGAGTGTTGTAAACAATGTACAGTGTTCACTGCAACCTCTGACTGTACTGCTCATACATTTTTTATTTTATTTTATTTTTTTAACTCCTTTCCCTGTTCTGGCCCACTTGGCAACCAATCAGCACATTTCTGGTGGTTAAAAACCTATCTGTGTAGGTAAATATCTCTGGAAACAGACAAAATCTCAGGAGCATAAATTAAGCACAACGTTTTCACTTAAATACTAGTTGCTAATGGAATCAAGTGATGGCACATCACTTTTCTGAAGTATGGAGTTAGTTTAGTGAGCAGGATTTCATGTACTCACTGCTTTAATAGAAGATATGTAATTACAGTAGCACTTATCTGCTTTAATAGACTATATGCACGTTAGCATATGCTACTTCTGGTGCGGAAACTCCTGTAGGGAGCTTTGTTTCCGGTGTCCTATTCGCGCCTTGTTTACGGTCCAAAACAAGTTAAGCAAATGAATAAATCAAGCGGCGATTTACATTTCTATAGATGTCTTGGGCATTTACCCAATATATCTGTAAATGATGTTCATCGACTTGTCTATATTTTTTCCCCCGCGCCTCAGAGCAAAAGAGAAAAGGGATTCAAATTTTATATTTCTCAGTATCTGTAAACAGAGGTCCCTCGTTTATTGCGGGTGTTATGTTCTAAAAATAACCAGCGATAGGTGAAATCAAGTAGCCAATTTTATTTTTTGATGTGCAGAACATTTCATCGACATACAGTACTGCACTTCAGAGTCACTCTGCTAGCTATCGATTCTGTACTGTACAGGAGAGACATCACAGAGGAGAAACCGCGAAACAGCGAGGTGAAAGGTGAACTGCGTTAAAGCGAAGGACCACTGTAATTTTGAAGGGAAGTCACAACATACCCATCGTAAATACTAATGTACAGAAACCCTTACCAGCAATCATTCATTTTTTGTGTGGCTTTTTTTCACGGTTTGTTAACATGCTGTGTAGGTGTGTACTTGACTAGCTGATATCGACATAACGGGGGAAACATCAGGTTTGACTATTCTTCACCTGTAGTTTGAATGCTGAACATTTGCCTGTTTAAATCATAAGACCAGTCACTATACAGAGATGTGCTTCTGAATGTGGACGATGTAACTTCTGATTTTGTAATGCAGTTCTGCTTGTGTTGAGTGATGTAAACAACTGATTGATCTTGATCTTTAAACGTCAAAATTGATCATTAGATTTTTTTATGACACAACAGCGGTGAGTGTCCCCACCTTCTGCTCTTTGTAACGTAACGCGATCTTTCCGTTTTTGAGTTTTGGACATGATTTTGGAGTAGATCTTCGCAGTAGTGATTGACCGCAAAGTAAAGCTACCGGAAATGTACAACCCTACATCCGGTCTCAAACCAGGAAGTTAGCATTTTCTTGTGCACAGGGTCTATTGTAATCAAAGTTAGGAATAGTATAGAACCAGATTCTTTTTCTCTCCATCCTTTTTTTTTTTTAAGGTTTCTAAACAGGACTTTTTTTAACCTTACTTTGGATGACTAAAGAGCTTATTGTAATAATTAGAATAATTCTGAAGTGCATCAAACATGCAAAAGCAAGAAGCTGTGTGACTAATGACTAAAAGAGAACGGTTTAGCTTCATATTTGGACAGTCATTTTTAACAGATTTTTGCTATTATGTTGAGCCGGTAAAGGAAATTATATTTCACTGTGACCATTACTGGGTTAATGGGAATTACTGTTGGACTTTAAGTACTGAAGCACAAATGACTGTGAAGGTCATGGACACGTTTTTCGCGCTTATTTGTGTCATCATAATATCACCAGCATTTAACAACCTGATTACTTGAAGATGCTTTGAGTTTTCCACTCGTGTGGATTACTTGTTATCACATCCAGTTTAAAATCACAATAATGATGTGTTGATGTCTGATTGCATCTGCAGGTTCTTTATTACTGCCCAGGCTTCAGAGAAGGCATAAAGAAGCTTCACGATCTCTCCATCCAGAAGGAGAAACCCAAGGAAGAAACTGAGAAAAGCGAAGAGGTACGTGCATAATAAATCACAGCCACAGTGTGGGTCCAAAGTTTAGCACTTATTAACTCCTCTGATGGGAGATGTTGCATGCTTCTTTTTAAAGTTGTTGAACAATATAGTGCACTCTAGTCTTCAGAGCTTGAAGTTAATTACGTGGGACTCCCCATAAGTTTTTAGAACTGAAGAAGCCTTTTGGACAAGAGGTGAAAACCTTCATGAACCAAAAACAAGTCCAGTAGCCTTCATCTCAAAGAGTTATGACACAGTGCACTGTATTCTAATTGTAAAATATACAGTTTTGAAAAAGCAGCAGCATTAAAGGAGGGTGTCTGTCTTCTGAGCTACGAAAGCATATTTCAGTAACCTTTTTACTCTGTGTCATTTTCCTACAGCCACACTGTCAGCAGTCAGACGGTGTGTCGGAGGCTCTGCCAGCTCACATCGAGCTTCTTGGGAGCTTCAACACTTTGATAACTGCAGTGGAGCAGCTGCAGTCTAGCTTCCTGCTTAATCCTGACAGCTTCACCGATGGAGAGCTAGCCACACCACCGCGCAAAATTCTGCACACGCTCAGGTAAAGATTTGGCAGTTTCAATAAATATTTGTAACCCAGTTGCTTATTAGATCATACACTTGTGTTGCTAGGTAACCAGTTTGTTCCCACGCTGTCTTTTTTCTAGCACGATGACTTAATGGCTTTCGAATATTAAATGTTACTAAACACCCAAATATTGTCACATTGTATACGTGCATATAACATTGATTAAACACTTAGTTGCAGTTAGATGCACATGTAGGATCATGAATGTGGAGCTTTGATCATTATTATGCTGTTTAAAAGGTAAAAACTTGTCATCATTAATGCTCAGTCATAGCTCAAGCTGATGAGTTGGTTACGAATCATTTTTAAAGTAAGCATGCTGACATGTTTAAACTCCAGATTGGCACTTTTGTGTTTTTGAACACTTTCATTAAAATTGCCATTTTCTGTCAGTTTGACACAAGTTTGTGGTTTTGTGTCGCAGGCAGCTGAACCCCATGTACGAAGGTTATCTCCAGCATGATGCTCAGGAAGTTCTGCAGTGCATCCTGGGATATATCCAGGAAGCCTGTGATACTATCAGGAAAGAGCTGAAAGTAGAAGGCGAGGAGGAGGATGTGTCGGAAGTTAAACTCGAGAATGGTCTCGATTTGGGGTCTGGCGGCTCTGGTGCAGAATCCAAAGCTTCCACGGAAGAGGATGGTCAAGTTGCCGGGAAAAGAAAGAGCGACACAGAAGTGGGGAATGCCAAGAAAAAATCCAAATCCCTGAAGTCTAAGAAATCAGATTCTGCAGAGGAAAACCTGAGTAGAAATAGACCCCTCACTCGCTCCAAAAGGAAGTCCTCCAGTGAAATCACCATGGACAGCAGCAAGAATAAAGGTGGAGAGGAGGCGGCAGATGAGGAAGAGGCGAAGAAACCAAATGGGGAAGGAGGAAGCGACGATGAGGGGAAAGTTGAGAAGACGTGTAAAGAGGCAGATGGGAAGAGGAAGAAGAGAGCTAAGTTGAGCTGGCTGAGGCCGTCTGGAAAGCAGCCAAGTATTTTCTCCAAGTTCCGCAGCGTGGGAAAGATCAGCTGCACAACTGTGAAGAACCAAAACAAAACAGAGCAGGAAAATGGAGTGACGCACGACGAAAGCGAGAAAAACCTTCAAGAGCCACCCAGCCAAAATGCATCCGAACACAGCAAGGCTCCTAAACATCAAGGTAGGTGTGACCTGTGATCATCGTAAGAGGCAGCGATTATGAAGAAAACGTTTAGTCGAGAAAGAAATGACTCACTTTAACCTCTTAAGCCCCAAGCCTAACTGATCTCCTGCCTTTTGCCCCCATATCACAATTAATGAATTTAAATGAATAAGCATCCCAAAAAAAGCAGAAAAGTTGGGACAGACTAAATGTTTGGTCATTCACTTTAACTTTTAATTTGTACTTTGACGTGCATTAGGAGCCTACATTTATTTATGGAGTTATAGATGTTACTAACTGTGGATTTTATGTTCGTTCAGCGGGCCTGAGCCTCATGGAGCGTTTGTTCCAAGGTCGGCTGGTTCTGAGGACTCGATGTCTGGAGTGTGAGAGCTTCACAGAGAGGAGAGAGGACTTCCAGGACATCAGTGTCCCTGTGCTTGATGACCAGCCCAGCAGCCCCGATGACCTCTCTGAGGGTGAGAATTTACAAATTTTTAGTTGTAAATTTTTACAACAAAAATTTTTTTGTGGGTGTGGGTTTTATTTTCCCCCTTTTTATCTTAAAAATCTTGTTTGTTTGTTTTTTTCTTCAGTCTCACCAGACCCTAAACCAGAGCTGAAGACTCTGAAATGGGCCATATCTCAGTTCGCTTCGGTGGAGCGCATTTTTGGGGAGGATAAATACTTCTGTGAGACCTGCCATCACTACACAGAGGCCGAGAGGAGTCTGCTGTTTGACAAGACTCCTGAAGTCATCACTATTCACCTAAAGCGCTTCTCTGCCAACGGTTTAGAGTGAGTCCACTGAAGTCTCAGTTATCACACTGCCGCACTACACTAACTCTACTGGAATGAATTTGAGCTAGTGTTTGAAAAAGTGATCGCTGTACCACATGCTTAGACTTAAAAGATTCTCATCATGGAGAAATAGAATCAGTCCTTTGCTGTAGATGAGTTTTTACTGCTTTGATCTCTAGTTTCTAAATGTACTCTTATATCTGTATTGTTCTCTCTTCCCAGACTGGACCCATATGCTGGTCTTTCTAAAGTGAACACTCCCTTACAGACTCCTTTGACCTTATCTCTTGAGGAGTGGTGTACCCAGTCCTCATCCACTAAAGGTCAAAACTATCAGCTGTTTGCCGTCGTCATGCATAGTGGTGTGACCATCAGCAGTGGCCACTACACTGCCTACATCCGAATGTCTGATTTAACAGATGTGAAGATCTGGCTGCAGGACACAAAAACTGAAGAGAAGGAGGAGGAGGACGAGGTGAAGGAAGACAAAGAAGGTGCTCTGGTGAAGGAGACGGTGCTGGACTACGATGATGGAGAGGTGTCTTTCAGCCTGAATACGAGAGGACAGCGGCGCGAGAGTTTGGCAAGCAGCAAATCAGGGAGCAAAAAGCTGTCAGAGGGGGGTGTCGGACTCTTGGGAGGCCAGAGGAGTGTGTCCAGCTATGACCTCGGGAACAGCAGCAGTAAACACACAGAGAAAGCAGCTAGCAGTGGTTCGACGGAGGGTTGTAATAGGAGAAAAACCATCAACATTTTGAGCCAAAACACTGAAGCTGGACTTAAAAAAGCGCCCGAGGCAGTAGAGGAGACATCGCAGGCTTCCTGTGGCAGCACAGAGACCAAAGAGCAGAAGGCTTTAAATAGCCTCTTGGAATATGAAGGGAAATGGCTGCTGTTTGATGACTCTGAGGTGCGTTTGTTTGAGGAGGAGGACTTCCTGCGAGCCTGTTCTCCTGAGACGTGCTGCTCATCAACCCCTTACCTGCTGTTCTACAGAAGGATGCCTGAACCTGGACACTGAAATAGACAGACCTTACAGGAAACTGAGCTCCTAGGCAAAAGACAGATGGAGTTTTTGCAATACTTCAAACAGTGCCAGACACACTGTGGCTGCCACATTTACACTGAAACTGAAGTGACTTTTCAGCCAAGGAAAACTAAACCTGCAACAGCCCCACGGTGGTATCAAGGCGCTTCCGCCTTCTCATCCACTCATGTGCAGGTACTCTAAACAGAAACGCCCAGTTGGGGTCAAAGTTTGTTTTGTTTGTTTTTTTTTAACGTTAGGGATGATTGGTTGTGTATTTTTGTTTTTTTGGTTTTTCTTCAATGTTGACTTTGTATTGTTTGTTTTTTACAAAATGGCAAAGCACGTTGAACTAAAATTTAATCAAGTAAAAATGTTGAAAACTGACTTTCCCCCCTGGGTGCAGCAGTCTGTATTCTGTTCGAATTTGAAAATGTTCTCATGTTATTTTTTCAGTTTATCAGAAAAGCTTTTACCCTGAAGCTTTCCTCATCAACTGATCCCTTGTTTTGTGAGGGTTTTTATATAGAAACCTGTACAATTTAGCTGTATATCTGAAGCCTCAAACTGATGCCATTTATACAGTGAAACCGACAGATTCTCAGAAACTCATTTAGTTACAACAGATATTTACAACAAACACTCAGCTGTCTAATAATAATTAAAAAGTTTCTACATGCTTCGTTGACACTAGTTTATGCAGTCAACAGTTTCAGGCTCAGATGTCAGATTTGTCAGAGTGAAGGACGCAATTTGATTTTATCAGTGAACTATCAGGTTTTTATAATATACATTTTACAATGTTATGGAAAACTGCTTGTTTGATATTTTACTATAGAGCCCAACTGATTTAATGTGAGCACGATTGAGATCTGCATAGTCTGACCACCAGAGGGCGTGCTGCAGATTCTGTGGCAGCTTGTGATTGGGATGCCACAAATGTGAAAGGCTCATTGAACAGAATCGGGTGGAGCATAAACAATAATTAACTACATATAACAAATGTTAGAGAATTGTTTGTTTTGTGTATCTGAAATAAATATTAGAATATGAGACTTTTAAATGACCAAATATCGGTCTGAAAACAGTCAGTCTCTAATGTAGTGTACAACTGTCAAGTGAGATGTTTGCACTAGTCAGGATTTTAAGATCTGAATCTCTAATTGAAAACTCCTTAAGCTATAGTTCAGTTTTATGCTGCAAGGAGGGTCAAAAAGCACAGTATAAATATCATTATATACAGTTCATGGTTATTATGGGGAGGAAAAACTGCCCACTGAGACCATGATTTAGCTTATGACCTACCTCCATTCTTCTTTTAAAAGAGAGAGAACAGTTTTTAAAGTTCATTAGAGATAAAATAACAAAGTTAAGACTAAAACCAGACTGATGGAAGTTCTCAAGCAGCGAATATTCAGTTTTGTACTTGCATATTGCTGGTTTTGAAATCTATATGTCTATATCTATATTTAGAGATGTATATACATATCTATATTTTGATCTATTAAAACAAATCACCATCCCTCTGATTAAACCTATGTAATATCAAGTTTTGTCTCATGACAGATTTAAGATACTATAGTTGAAGAAAAAAATAGATTTTCCTCTTTTGCATTAATATGCTCCATATCTGATCTAACAGCCTAGACACAAAACATTTTAACTTGATGTGGTAAGGTAAATTTCCTGTTTATGATGGACTGAGTCTTTTGTGACAATTTATTGATTAGTCATGCATAGCAGATTGATTTTTTTTGGGGGGGGGGGGGGTTGGAAGCAAAGTTTGTGTGTGGATGTATTGTTGTTGTTCTTTGTTTGTTTTCTCATACTATCAAAAAAATAAATAAATTGATATGCAGTTTTTCTCTCTCACTTTCTGCCTCTCACTCTTTGTATTTACAGTGCAAACAAGATGGAGAGAAACGTTGTCTACTGCCTGCTTTGTAAAAAGCCCCAACAGTCCATTCGCACACACCTGAGCAGAGTGTGCCTGAAAGACTGCACACCACAGGAATGTGAGGAAGAAGCTTCCAGAGCCATTGCTTCACAGAAGCT